CATAGAATAACAGAAAAATGTGGGAGAATAAAAATATGGTTGCCAGAAATGAAAAGTCCCATGTAAGGCCTAAATGATGGAATGGCTATTATAAAAAAAACAGTGATCTGAGAAACACACTCAGGGAAATCCATCCAACAGAAAACACGGAAAAACAAAGAGAAATGGTAAGAGATGCTCAATATATATAACAAAAGATATACTATATGGCTAATGGATGTTTCAGGGGAAAGAAAAGAGAAAACAGATTGGAGGAAATAAAGAAATATATAACAGAAAATATTCAAGTTGAAAGAAACTATTCCTGGAATTGAAAGAGCCAACCAATTGTCAAGTGATATGAACAAAACAACAATAAAAAAATAAAAAAAAATAAAAACCTCAGATACATCCGGGTAAAATAATGTAAGGAAAAGTTTAAAAACTTCAAAAGAGTTTAAAAAAAAGATTGCCTACAAAGAAATGGACTTATTTTGACATCAGAATTATCAACTACAATGGGTGCTAGAAAGTACAGCAGCAAAGCCTTCAAAGGCAAAATTATTTTGAGACTAGGATAGTCTAACAAAGGATCAACCAAGTAGGAGAGCAAAACAAAGACATTTTCAGACATTTAAGGACTCAGATGTTTTTCTGTTTCTTAAAAATTATTTGAGGATACAATTCAACAAAATGATTAAGATATTCAAGAAAGAGGAACAATGGAATCTAAAACTGCAACATAGGAGTTCGATTAAAAAAAAGAAAAAGTCCCAGATAGCTGTGCTCAGAAAGCTATAAGTGAAAATTAGAATAGTAATCTCAACTTTTTAAATAAAAAAAAGTTTTCAAAAAGTAAGCAATTTACATCCATTCATCGAATAGTTCAATTAAGCTAAGAAATTTTGAGGATTGGTATGCTTCTCCTGTTCAAAAAAATTAACGAGAAATTTTAAAACAAGTTGTAGAAGAACATTACCATCCTAATATGAAGTAAAACAGATTCTGGTATCATTTTAAGTAAAATCTGAGCATGATTTATAAGGTTAAAAAAAAGAATTTTTCCTTCTAGTGGCACAGGTTCTATGTCACAGATTTATATTTCCTTTTTCATGAATCTAATTGAACTACTTGGTTCTGCAGTAATTATTTCCTAATCATCATAGTAAAATAACACTTAACACCTTATATATGCCCTATTTTAAGTCTTTTAAATTTATTAGCCAGTTTAGTCCTTTTAACAACAGCATAGTTAGGCTAAGTGACTTGCCCGAGGTCACACGCTGGATAGTAAACCGAGGCATTCTGGCTCTAGAATCCTTGCTCCTAACAATTGGTTTCACTGCTTCTCATAATGCTCCTTTGTTAGCTTAGAATTCTTAGAATCAACCTATCAATCTAAAACAGGAAGACATAGTAACAATTATAAAACAGTATAAATTATATAAAATTCAACATGTTATATATAACATATATGTAATACATATAGTTTAAAATGATATAAAAATCATCAGAGGAAGAGAGATAATGAACTTGAGCTAAATTCCTCATATTTCATAGCAAGTAAGGTTGATTTCGTGGGTACACACCAGCTACCAATAGATATTGTCTAAGTTTAATAAAATAGATATAATTTATATGGTAACTCAGAAAATCTAAAAACAAAAAAAGTTAAAGTTGATACATTAAGAAATAGCAATATAGCAAATTATTCAGAACCTTAGGAGGAAAATAAGAAAAGCCAAAAACAAAAAAGGAGGGGAAGAGGGAAGACCTTGATTTTCAACCATTTTATTTTTATTAAAAGTATCAGATATGATTTTATTATAAAAATAATCATATACTATTATTGATAATAATGGCGTCCAATAAAGAAGGGTATAAACTGAAGAGGGCGCCTTTCAGTTTTGGCATGGAAACTCTAAAGGACAATAAGTGGTACCAGACCATAAAACCCAGTGGGGTACGACACGACTGACAAGGATAACATATAACATGTTACAGAATACTCATCTTCTTTGCTGATTCTTTGTTTCACATGATTATGGACTAAAGAACCCATCTTTATCATATAAACTTCTAAAGAGACATCATTTCACTGACTTTAGACAACTATTGAGTATCAACACACTTCGATCCTTTACCTTGCACATTTCATTCAAAGAAAGGTCTGTCTAAAATCACATCACTGGCAGGAGTCTACGTGGGTATCAACATTTTCAGGGTATAATTTGGCAGTCCTCACTGAAATGTAAAATAGGGCTAGACTTTGACCTAACGATTTCGCTTCTCAGAATCGACCCTACAGAAACCTTCCAAATGCTCAAAGGTAACTCTAAATATAGATTTTCGATTAGGCTATCGCTGTTCATAACGTAGGAAAATGAAAAACAACCTAAACGCACATAGGTACATGAAGAATGTTTTGTTGCCATTTAAAAGATGAATACATCTATATTTAGTGACACTGAATGGTGTCATCTATTCATATATTGGATAGTGGGCAGAAGGCTTAAGGTGTATGGAGGAAACATTTATTGTACATTTATCTGATATATTTTTTTTTTACGACCAGCATGTATTGTTTTTCTATTTTAAGAAATCAGAGCATACCTCCATTGTCATATATTTGGGATAAAGAAAAATCTAAAAAGACAAAAACTCAACATCATCTTTAGATTAGTTCATACTCAAATCTAAGGGGGAGTGGATTTCATACAGTACGTGCAGTCTAGGATTAGTGAAAAGGCTAGCTTCACCGGTTGGGTCATTTTTTAGTGAACTGGGACAAGAAAATGACAGCACAAGAATAATTAAGGCAGAGTTGAGAACTGCACCCACGAGCGGCGGCGCTGGCCAGGCAGTCCAGGGACCGGGCGCCAAGAGGACAGGGAGGCTGGAGCGGGCCCAGGGTGTCCGGGACGAAGGGAACGGGCCACGGCAGGAAACGCACTGGGTGCTGGATGTGCGGGAAAGAGGTCAGAGAGACCCAAGGGGCGGAGGGCGGGCCGGGGACGGAGCATACATCCAGGGAAACGGTCGGGAGGGGCAGGTGCGGCCGGCGGCGGCAGCTTGACCAGCAGAGGTGGGTCAGCCCGGGGCCGGGGCCGAGACCGAACGCGGGCCGGGTCCCCGCTGCGCGCTGCGGGCAGGCGCGGGCTCCCAGTACCTTCCCAGGAGAGCTCTCCTCCCGGCTGCCTCTTCAGGAACTTGTACCAGAACGTGTC